GTATGGTAGTCTCCTTTTCTGGAGGTTTTTAAGCAGAGGCTGGATGGCCATCTGTCAGGGGCAGGGTTGATTTTGTGTGTGTTCCAGAATGGCAGGAGTTGGACTGGAAAACCTTTGTGATCTCTTCCATTATATAATTCTATGAGAACATTAAAAAGAAGAAAAAAGGAGCGATAATAAAGATGGAGTGAAGAGACACCTACAGATGGAAAAACAAAAAAAATGGAAGTAACAAATTAAGAGTAGCAGGACTGCTGTAAGATGTCGAACACAAAGTAAGGAGGAGACATGGAAAGCATAGACATATCTGTTGCAATTCAAAGAGAAGAGAAAAAACAAACAGTATGTGTGAGGAAGAGATAAATGAACCAAATTAGATGGGTTATAAAGGGTTCTGGGTAGCTAAATAAGAAGGAGGGGAAGGCTGCAGTAAGTATTATCATGCAGGGAGGAAAAAGGTGGGGGGGGTTAGCTAAAATGAGAATGCAGAGAAAATAATGTGTGTATCCTAGAGAATATGGAGCAGGATTAGACAACTTGTAGATCTCAGAGCCCCAGATGGTGCAGCAGGTTAACCTACTGAGCTGCTGAACTTGCTGACCAAATAGTCAGCAGTTTGAATCTGGGGAGCAGAGTGAGTTCCCACTGTTAGCCCCAGCTTCTGCCAACCTAGCAGTTTGAAAACATGCAAATATGAGTAGACCTTGGAGGTGTCTACCAAAAACGCTGGCTCTTCAGTTTAGAAATGGAGATAAGCACACACACCCCTCCGCAGAGTCAGACATGACTGGACTTAATGTCAATGGGAAACCTTTAGATTTACCTTTAGATCTCTAGAACACCACTCACCAATTTATAGAGGGAGTTCTTTTCAAGAGTAATTTGTGGGCAGTCATGAACTCCTTCCCTGCTCCAAAGCACATAAAAATCAACCTACATGAAGAAGCAGACCCAATGGGGGAAGGGGGGGGGGGAGAGAGAGAGAAGCTGACAGGCCTTTACATGGAAATATTCTACATACAAGCTTCAAATGCTGGGTGAGTAAGTAACAGCCAGATGTGACACTAATCACATTATCAATGGACAAATAATCCCAAGAGGCAGTGAAAAAAGAAAACATTTGGGTAAAAATGGCCAAAATGTTTTCACACAGGTGCATTAAAATAAACACTCAAAATAAAATAAAATAAATTTATCAGAATGCATCCCTGTAGCATGGGCCATATGACACTTGTGCTTACATAAAAAACACAAGGGACCTGCTTCAGCCAAAAGCCATCTAGTCTTCTATCTACATTTAATCTAGATGAACCCACAATTGAATCATTAAGTTCAACCATTAGAGACAGATGGCTAATAAGCTACATAAAGGATCCTTGTCCTATTTCTTCTCAATCAGGAACTAGAGAAAAAAATATCATTTGCTAGAAAGTATGCCTTCCTCTTTAACTTACAACTGCTTTAGTAAACCTACAGCCTTCAAACAAGCCATGACTTCACAAATGGAACCAATCATGGTTTCAGGAAGGCAACATTGAATAGCTGATACAAAATTCAAATATTTGTAAGTTCTTCTCTTTGAAATTTTTTCTGCAATGGTTTGGGGCACAGCCTACTATTTAGCTTGATATCATGAACATGTGAAGTAGCAATGATAGGATCAACCATAATTTTACCGGTAGTATCAGTCCTGGGGAGCAACACATTAGGAGCTCAGGTCTTTGCTTGCTTAGATATCCAAAAACTCCTAATAATGATGACATGATTGAACTTAAAACAGTGGTTCTCAACCTGTGAGTCCCCAGGTGTTTTGGCTTACAACTCCCAGAAATCCCAGCCAGTTCGGATTTCTGGGAGTTGAAGGCCAAAACATCTGGGGACCCACATGTTGAGAACCAATGATTTAGAGGGTTAATCCTAGTAAAGTGTGCATACTACAATAGAACTCTTTCCAAGAATTTTATGGACTAGATTTTCCAGGATTCCTCTAAGATTTGGATCTTAGAATTGATCCAAATCCATTCACTTACTGAATAGCCTGATGCCACGATTCCCTTTTTGGTTTCAAAAAGTAACTCAGTTGTCTCAGACTTCCACTTGCTTAATGGGCAGCAAGCATTGCTGGGCTGTTATCAGAATTTGACGGCTACACAATGACTCTGGCTTCCCGTCTGAGGGAGTGATTGTATCAGAGGCTGTGTGTGACAGTAGCAGAATTATGTCATGTCTGGAGAAAGAAATCTTATCAGGACTCTGGCTGAAAGGCAGAGATGTCCAGCTGCAGGAACACAACACACACCCCTACTCTGGAGATAGCGCTCTCCTGCCCTCCCTGCGTTTCCCATCCTAAGGAGGAATCAGCTCTTTTGCTCTCCAAATCTCACTGAACACACAACACAAGCAAGATATGGGTAAACAAATTGAGAGAACTTTAAATTCATGAGGTCAAGTAAGAACTATCGCACAAAGCAACACACATACACTCCTCTTCACACTTCAGTGGTGTGAACTTCAGTAAAATGACCTTCAAAAGTGCCTTCAGTCTGTCTAATGCATTAATTGGTGTTTGATCATTTTAAACCAAGAGCAAATGGAGGCACCTATGTTTCTAGACTCCTTCTCTCCCAAACACAGTGAAAAGGTTGTCCCTCAAACACAGAATGTAAGGAGATATATTGTGCCAAATGAGTATAAATTATTATCTGCCCTGACAGAACTCTCCAGGGTTTGAGAGGTCTTTTCAACCTTTCATGGGGGTGCCAGGAATTAAACATGCAAGTCAAGGTAGCCATAGCCCTGAGTTTACAGAACCTAATCAGGACAGTTGACTGTGACTTGGAGGTCTCTCATTCATAGGGTCACCATAAGGTGAAGTTGACTTGATGGCAGTATACAGAACTTATAGTTTCTTACTGAACCTCAAAACTTCCCCATTGTTTTCTGCACAGCACCTGTTTTATTGTAGATCCTGACAGGACTGATAACTGGCCAGACTTAGAAATATGATGTTTGCATGTGTGTTAGAAAACTACATAAATCAGGATGATCATAGTAGCTGCCAAGCCCTCGGTTATATTACATGTAAATGTGTTTGAAGTGGAAACAGACACAACCCATTCTCACACTTTATAGTTGGGAAAACAGGCACCAACTGTTGGTGACCTAGCTAACACCAGAGAGAGTCTAAATAGGATAAGGGACTGGTCCTGGGTCCTTTGCAGCCTGCTCCATCCACAAAATAATATTTTACAAAGATTAAATGTCCTTTTCATAGTCTTCTTTCCTTAGGCTTTTAATCACTAGCAAGTTTTCTCTTTCTATTTCACATACACACACCCCTATCCTATCAGGAGACTCTTTGTATCCTGGGGAGAACTCCCAATGCTCAGGAAAGCCAGCCTGAATGATTGTAGCTAGCTTGGCTGAGGTATCGTCTATTTGGCACATGCAATGAGATATCAGCCCCCAGGTTATCATTAACCTTATTTTCTATTTCTAGCATCTCTAACTCCCCTTCTGCTTTTTCTGTAGCCAAGCCACGTGAATGCAGCTACAGACCTATTTCTGCAGCCTTATAACGGAACAGATTGGTCACATGCTGTTGTCACCCACCCACACTTCACTGCCCCCACCTCAAGGGGTTGAAGCTGATCCTTCTGAGAGGCAGAACTGAGTTCCGTATTTTGTGTCACCATCCCTATAGCTTGTCACATTTGAAGGTACATTCTCAATTTGTCAATTGTGTTGAGGTGAGGGTCTGCAGCTTTCTCATTAGAGAGCTCATCTGAGAGCGAGAACAAAAGCCACAGAACCCAGGAGGAGCTGGCGAGGATTTTTCCACTAGTACCCTTACAATGGGGACATTGGCATCCATTAACCTCAACACATCTTTCCCAGTGGTCCCATCCTAACTGGGAGTCACTAAAAATAGATACTCACTGATCCATGCATTGACTCTTCCCATTTGATTAATAACAGAAGAAGGGACTTGTCACCTATCACACTGGGACATTTTGGCCCCCTTGCAACACTTTGGGGATGGGGCCTGCCTAATGCCATCACATGATGCTTGGCAGGCCCTGTCCCATTTCTCCTCAAAGTGTCAAGGAAGTGGCGCAAAATGCTTCCTCAGCCACTATGCCTTAGTAAGTGTTTTTCAGGTAGCCCCAATGGAGAGGACAGAGAGCAATATGTGTTGCTATCCTTTCTCCCATCTGATGGGGTCAGGGACAGGACAGCAATGAACCTTGTCCCATTCACCCCGCCAGATGGGGAAAGGAGGGCGTGCGAGACACCAATAAATGGTACAGGGGGAACGATTAGGGAAGAGGTCCTTGTTCATCTTTGTAGTGAAAATTATATATTCCACTGTTATTTTGAAGGAGGCAGAAAAATACGATGTGGAAGTTGGCAAGCACCATTTTACCTGTTTTACTTTACTCTTGGAAAAAATTCTTCAATTCAGAGTGCACTCCTATAGGAAGCCTTTCTTTATGGATTCCCGGGTTAACGATAGTCAGAGGACTATCACACCATTAATATTGTCTAACATTAAGTGGAGTAAAATTGGACCTGCAAGCTAATGTTACAGATAGGCTACTTCAAAATTATCTTTCCTTTGCAAATGTAAGCAGAAATAGAGTTTCAACATGCAGAGTTTATCCTGAAGAATTCTATCTTATTGCTAAAAATGAAATCATTAGCAGGTTGCTGACCATATGAATTCCTCATCAGGCTGCCTTACATTTAATTTTTGTTTAATTTACATTTTCATAATCGGTACACAGTTATGTTACAACTCAAAAATTGGCACATATAGTTAAGTACCCCCCCCCCCCCCAAAGCTCCCTATTGGAGACCACCTTCTAACAAAATCACTGGTGTACGTTGTTGTATATCCTCCAACTTTAGCATTTGAAACAGAGTTTCTGACTTGAAAGACCAATATTATAGGGAAGCGAGGTGTCCTAAATGCATTTAAATCCAAAGGTAAGCTTTACCTTCCAGGTAGCTGTGTTTCTCCTGAAATAGGCAAACATCCGTGTGAACCAATTGTAGATTTCATTCAATGTTAGCTGCCTGTCAGGTGTCTCAAGGATAGCCTGCATTTAAAGAAGATGAAGAGTTAGTCCCATGCACCAGACCTATCATATCATGTCTGAATCAAAATTAAGCACACTATTATGAAGAGACATCAGAACATTTTGCAAAAAACTAACACCTAACTCACACTTTTTCAACTTCATTTGTCAAAGAGTTCAGTACGCAGTAAGTCAAGAATTCCATATTTCTTCCTTGATATGTGCAATATCAGGAAAAGACTGGCAGCCATGATACAACCATCTGCAATCCAACACTGGTTTCATGCTGTAGATTGTTACTCCCAGTCCAATGCCAGGACTGGGTGTAGTTCCAGGCCTATCCAAGCATTATTTCAATGCCCAATACTGACACGCATTATTACTAAAGCATAAGCTTGATCAGAAATGATGTAGCAGACAGTAAACAGCAGGAAAGCATTCCAGTCTTTTCACTGAAAGGGTCTAGCACTCGTCACAGTGAATGGTCAAGTTGAGTCTAACCACTTCACCCACAAATTCCAGGCTATCTCTCAGCTAACGATTAAATTCCCCATTGCTGGTTATATGTGCACCCCGAAAGTGAGGCCAATGGAAGATGCTTACATAGTACAGAAGCAAATGAAGGACCTATCACTCTTAAGCTTCAGGAAAAATCTTAAGGCCTGGCTATTTATGCAAGACTTTGGGTATTAATATGACCAATGGGTATGACGGAATCTGTATAAGACCGGCGAGGGCAATTGGTTTAATGTTTATAAATCTCAGTTGGTGCTAGACTCTTGATATGTTTGAATCATTTGAAAGACTATTTAATTGATATGTATATGTTTTTTTTCCCAGTTTCATAATATTGTGTTTTACTATTATGTTATTGTCTGAATCTGGCACTGAATTATTGCCATAGTTTGTATTGAGGATGACAGGGTTATGGTCAACACTGAACCCTAAGGTGCCTAGCAGAGAGGAGCATGCATTATTATAAAATATAAACCAACGATACTGCTGCCAAGGAAGACTGGTGGTCACCACCATGGATTCAATTACCCTTGAAACCGAGGGATGTAAGGTAGAGGCATTTACAATGGCACTGAGAGGGTAAATTATTCTCACATTTAAAAACAAAATTGTGGGGAATCTAATGAATCTGGCAAGTGGCAGATTTAGAACAAACAAAATAATGTAAAGTTGGCTGCCTAATAAAGCTAATTTTGAAATGTTTACAGGATTAGAGAAATGCATGAGCAATATTTTCTCAGTCATGGCAGATCAGACTCAGAGGCAACGTGCTTCAGAACTAGCTGGCACAAACAACAACAACAACAACGGGCGGGTCTCCATCGCCCTCCACTTTATTATTGTTTCAAGAGTATCAGCTTGACCCCAGCAAGACATTACCACATGCTGATTGGGTCTGATCCAACATTTTTTACAGATATGCACCAGGATGCCTAAAACATGAGAGAGGAGGGAAATAAAATTAACATAAATGTATCCCACACCTTGGCCTGACTGACAAGGGTGCCACATTGGTATTTGAACAAACTGGCCACTGGCAGCTGTTAAAAGACTTGTCAGGTCTTGGTTGTCATGAAGAAGTTAACCTGAAATACCTGAAATAGAAGAAAGGGAACCCAGGAGCCATTCTAATTCAGCCTTTTTTCATTTTCTTTTGCATAGGCTGCAAAGAATCAGTGCCAGCAAAAATATAGTGGAAATAATGATCTTAGCATCTTCTCTTAAGCATATTTTTACAAGAAGAAAAAAGGCATATATTTAACCAGTGGAGAAAAGGGAGGCAGGTCACAGAGTTAAGAGCATGCCATAGTTATACAACAACCTACACTGCCGACTTCAATTCACTGAGAAGTTGGGGATGACTACACAATGCAATGCCGCAAGGGAGCAATAGCAGCCATTTGCCCAAGGGAATTTAGCTTTTTTCAAAGATGTGCTGTTGGCACAAGAGACTGTAGTTCATCCAAGAAACTGATACAGAAAAATTCTACCTTCTGAGCCTGAAAGCCAAGGCTGAAAGAAGACTGTGGCTGTTATGGACCACTAAGGCTAGTACCTATGAACTCTACTGCTTATACACTGACAAAACAGGAAATGTTAAGTTAAAAGTCATGCCTTGTACATCAGGAATGGATGTTCCCACTGTTAACACTGTTTCTCACTTCATGTAAATGGAAATAGTAACTAGCAGCAAGTAATTTAATTACATCAAGCTGTGGATAACCACTGATTCTCACAGAAACTACAAACTAGAAAGCAATGTTTGTAAAAAAAACAAACAAACCTTTAAATGGAGTCTTCTGTGATTGGTGCTTAAATTAGTGATTCTGCAGAAATGACTTCAAAATTACATACTTTACTAGGTGAGTTTTGAAAATCCCTGGAGACCATGAGGTGGCAGATATGGTTGCCATTTATGTTTCTGAAAATTCCCTGCACACTCATTCTTTGTGTTTGTGGTTAATACATCATTCATTCAGGTGACTAAACAAGCACCTTCTAATGTGACTGATAAAATACAGCCTTGAAAGAAAATCAAGGAGTTGATAACTGGATTATGTAAAGAAGGGCAATGGCATTAAGTTCATAATGTCACCTTCTCCAACCTGATATCCTCCAGAACTTTTGGATTTCAGGTGTCAGCAGTGCCCAACTTGGCCAAATGTTAGTCCAAAACATTTGGGGGATGCTAGGTTGGAAAAGACTTTCTCCCACACATTTTGCAAGTAAGTTGGGGTATAAATTCAATGAATTGACTGCTAGAAACTATAGAAAAAAAGAAGGAATAGCAATCTGCCTACTCGTTTACTGCTGCAAACTAGTATTAATTATAAAAGGCTGAGATGAAGTGAAGACCAAAGGCCTATCTGGGCATTTAAGACCACAGGGAACTTCAGCAGGACAACAAACATGTAGCTCTACATTTTCCAAGAGATTCCTATCCCGGCCTCATCCTCTGATTCCAAATCAGTTCAAAAAGCTAAATTCTAAACTGTATCACTAGCAGTCTTGTGCATTTTTGCATTCAAAGGAAGCATAAGAAAGTGCTGGTTGGCTCTATTGTACATTCCTCAAAAATAAGGAGTCTCTCACCTGTCGGATAAGTGAGGCATATGTGAAGGGAGGTCGGACATCTGCATTTTTGTAAAACTCGTGATTCTGTGCAAGTTCTGGGGAAAGACAGAAAAAAATAACAAAGAAAATCAAGGCATTATCCAAATGAGCAGCTACATGACGATAAAACCACTGAATCATTACTTTGGAAGAGACCACGAGGACCTTCTGGTCCAACCCTTTGACATGCAGAAACATCCAGTCAAAGCACTTCTGACATCCAACCTCTGTTTAAAAACCTAAACAAAGGATTCTGGTTCTGCTATTGCCTCCCCAGAAACTCTCACCTGAGGAGATAGGTGTGCAGAACTTCTCTGAGTTCCTCCTGCGAATGGGCCCTACATTGTGTAATGTGGATGAGCTGATGACAGAAGGGCCCTGCCGCAATGGAGTAATGGGTGCGGTAGCAGAGGTGGGGGGATGAGGTAATCCATCAGGGAAGGTATCACAAGTGCTCTTTGAGAGGGTGGCACTGGAAACCAGGTTCAGCTGTATGAAGAAGACAAAGAAAACAACTAAGATTAGGATCAATTCAGAAGACATGAGGGTTATGTTTTGTTTAAAGAAAGCAAATGAGTGATCACGACTTATTGATAAAAACCACGATGGGGATCCTGCAGCAGACAGGCAGCCATCATGTTGTGGCTGTCTCCTAATCTGACCTACCTTACATTCTGGTTGCTGATGACTCGATAAATAAAAAATAAGTTATACCAAGGGATGGAAGTCTATTCTACTGGTGTGTATGGGTTGAAGTATGACATATGCAGTCCATTCTCACCATTAAGTAGCAGAAGCAAAGACCCCCATGGGGCCCTGTCACATTATATCAGCACAATGCTAACTGGTGGGAGGGGCTAGATATTATAGAATCATAGAGTTGGAAGAGACTGCGGGGGCCCTCCAGTCCAATCCCATGTCATGCAGGAAGCACAATCAAAGCACCCCTGACAGATGGCCATCCAACCTCAGTTTAAAAACCTCCAAAGAAAGAGTTTCAATCACAATCTGAGGTAGCATATTCCACTGTCCAATAGCTTCTACTGTCAGGAAGTTCCTTCTAATGTTAGGTGGGCACATCAGCCTGTTTTGTGTATTGAGTGGGTGTGAAAGAGCTACCCCCTCTCCCCGAGACATACTCATTCATCTCATTCCTCCGTTGCAAACTTATCCAATTTCCCTAAATATAAAGGGAAGTTCTGCTTGCACCTTTTGAGAGAAGGTTGGGTCAAAGTAGATGTTAAGTAATTCTGCCTGAAAGATGTATAATCTTTAAATGCCCTGCTACCAATATGGCAGAACTCCATCCCATGGTATAACTGGTTGGATTTCAAGATTGGTTTGGGGGACATTTACAATTGTGTCTATGGGATCACAATCATAAATGTGAACAGGAAATAGCTACAAGGTCATAGGTCTAACTTATAATATTGTAACTGACTAATGGAATGCCAGCCCAGATGTATGGAAAGCTATTATCCAAGAGAATCACCACTGAGGCTCAGCTAATTAAATCAGCTATAGCAGATTCATACAAGCATCTCAAATAAGAACATGAGACCTGTCAATTATGGACCCATGGGAATAGCCAACATTCGGATTGGAACTGGATCATTGATATGCAAACGGACATCCCAAAACTCTTCACCAGTTACAACAAAATCAATAATTATATGAAGACATGTATATAACCATGCAGACATCTGGAAGAAAATATGAGATGAACCTGCCTAATTCATATACATTCCGGATAGATGTTTTTAAAAGCAAAAAGAGGAGTCAAACTTTAAGTGAAGACACCTCAACTACACTGTAGGAACTATTCAGTATTATTAAGCTCAAGTTTTGGTAGAGGGCTGAATTTATGAGATAGTTGACTATATAAGCCTATGTATTGAGAGACAAATATGCATAGGTGTGAGGCCTTAGTGAGCTCATGGCTGAGGCAGAATTTTATCTAAGGGCTTTCTGGCCTATAGCCCATACTTTTAGCCATCATAGTACAGCATTTTCTAAGGAAAACTCCATATTGCAATTTAACTTTTAGGATGAGGAGCAATTGGCCCCACTAGTTTTTCCTAGTTGCTAAATTTCCTTTGTTTTTGCAAGTTTTGATGTATATGGCAACAAAATAATTTTAATGTTTCAACTACTTATCTTTTCTCTTTAGCAAAATGTTTTATATTGAGTTTGTTTTTTTTTTACAAAATTGCGATGCTAAGTATTGCAAACACATGCTTCACAGATTATCTGGTGTTGTAAAACACTCTATAAACTGCTTTTGCATTGAAGATCAGAGTATAAATATCAAACAAAACAAATCCATAAATGATTCTGGAGGAATAAAAAGTGTAGATTTATTCTCTCTATGCCTCCAGTTTGAAAGAGGGGTGCTGCCCTTCTAATGAACAGGAGGAACTTTCAAAACTGGGGGTGGGGTTGAGGAATACAATTCTTGCCAGTGATGCAAGTTCTTCCAACAGGATCACAGACTGACGTGAACTACAACCTCAAGGGAACATAAATCTAGCAATGCCACTATCAGTTTTCCCTGGTAGATGCATGGTTTAAATGATTTGGAATGGTTGATAAAACAGTAAAGTGGACAATGGCTCAGGAAGGAGCCAGTGACACACCCTATACAGTAGGAGATTCTGCGGTATGTTTATATCAGTATCAGTTTTATTGCAGCACTGTGAGAGTTGTTTCAACACTTCCAGTGCTTTTCAGCAGTTGCTGGTCCCACCAGTCTGAAGCTGATGGGAATGGCACAAGAGTCTTTTGATGAGGCTGATTTTATTTCAAGCTGAGACAGGCTAACACAAGTGTGGCTTGAGCATGGTCAGAATTTTCCCAGCCTACTTTCTGTACAGCTCTAACGGTCAGGAAGTTCTTCTTTATGTTTTGGTGGAATCTCTTTTCCTATGACTGAAAATTCTTTTTTCTGTAGCTTGAATTCACTGCTATGTTATAGCAAAGCTTCCTCAGTCTGAATTAATTTTGTGATTATGAGTGATTCTGAGGAGTTTACTTGGTCTGAGCAGTGTGAATCAAGCCTCTGCCACCTGATATGGAAATGGAAGCATGAGTTCAGAAGAGGAACTGGGAAAACCAGCCTCAAGGATATGGTCCTTCTAAAGCAGTGGCTCCCAGCCTGTGGTCCATGGACCACCAGTGGTCCACAAGAACTAAAATACGGTCTGCGGCCTCATCGTTACTACACTGTTATGACAAGATCAACTAGTCTCGCAAAACCCTTTTATAGTGAGGAAGCTTATTAAATATGGTTTTCTGTGGGCGAGCAGATGGTGGCTACTAGATGGCATATGTTCTGTATCAGAAACTAGAGCTGATGTGGTTTATCCAATGCATTTCTCTGAATCAGCACCCAAAATAACCAAACCAAATCTAAAGTTGACCAAAAACTGATTTGTAATCTTTTTGGTACTAATGTTGGAAAGTGGTCCTTGGTCAAGTGGTCCCTGGTCAAAAAAAGGATTGGGAACCACTGTCCTAAGGGAAGAATAACCAAGTGCTAATCTGTGGCAATTTTGGGTCAATATTATTATTTTATCCAGTGCTTCATAATTTCATCTACATACAGAAATTTCGATAGTGCACAAACATGAGTTTAACTACAGGAGAAATTTATTTATTTATTTATGACATTTATATGCTGCCCTCCTCATCCCGAAGGGGACTCAGAGCGGCTTACAAGTAAAATGTAAATACAATATATATTATTACCATAGCACAATATTAATATTATATATTACATTGTACTATAACATTATACTGTAATATTATTAGTAATATTACATGTAATATAAAATATATAATTATAATATATTATTATTAGTAGTATTATATTGTATTACATTATAATATTAACAATATTGTATTTATATTATATTATTATATTATATTATATTATATTATATTATATTATATTCACAGTGAAGGAGGTAAGATGGAACTGCCTTCATGGCCCCTCTCTTCACTCTGATCTCAGGCGTTTCAAGATGAAAAATTAGTATTGGGTATTTTAGCAACTTTACTACTTTGTCTTCCTCACACAGTTGCGCCCTCTACTCAAACCTGGTGGCTCATATGACTTGCTGAGGAACAATCCTTTTTACCTTAAGCTTAGCAGTGATGTTGTGTGTTGTTCCAGCCCTACATAATTTTGCCAGGATAGCAGGAAGCTGATAATCCTTGTTACAAAAAGAGAAATTAAGTTAAAGAATGTAATGGGAGTGGGGGCAGGGACAAGCAGAATGCTACTTACAGGCTGACTGAAGGGCTTTGGCTCTGAAGGTCTCATATGGAGGTGGGCCATCATTGCCTGGAGGCGTTCACTCTCTTTAGCTAGCTGTAGAAAGAACCAAACAGAAAATAATTTGTCTGATGGAAGTTTCCCATCCTTCAGTGGTCAATTCACTTGGCTCACAGTTCATTAGCATGGTAGTTCACTTCTATGCGCTGCCTTCATATGTCATCTTCTCCATCCAGAGCACACCTCCTTTTGTTTGCTCCATTGAGCCTCAGTGTACACATACTGTTCTCTTGCCTTGACTAATATTTCCTGCATACAGTAATATGACAGTACAATGCTGTTTCCGTTAGCTCTTGCTGCGCTGCTCTGCTAGAGTCCTCCTGGAGGCAAAAAACTGCCACCTTCCCTAATTCCACAGTAACACTGACTTTTCCTGAGAACCACAAACCAAGCCAGGATATCATTTTCCAGGGTGGTGAGAACTGCCTTTTCCTATTGGATATCAATATCTGGATGTGTAGTGGTTTCTACTCTAGTGCATCTGCTGTGAACTAACATTAGCTGTACCAGTGACCTTGCTGTAAGGGAACTAGCTTTGGGCATATAGAGGTAGAAGAACCTACTACTGACAAATGGAGTCACACAGTATGTACAAACCACAACAACCCAAAATACACAACAACCAACACCCTGATTAAGAACTCCTCCATAAACTTTGACATACGACAACAGCTATGTAAATCGGAAGCCCATCCACCCAGGCTTTATGGACTCCCAAAAATCCATAAGGACTCCACCCCACTCAGACCCATCGTGAGTGCCATTGGATCCCCCACATACGACCTAGCAAAATTTCTTGCTGCACAGTTACAAAGCCATATTGGGCTCACTACACACTACATCAAGGACTCAGCCCACTTCATAGAAAAAATCAGCAATCTCAAGCTAAATACAAACGACAAACTGATCAGCTTCGATGTGGTATCTCTATTTACCATGGTCCCGGTAGCAGACACCATGGCACTCATCAACCAGAGGTTCCCAGAAGACATCACGGCTCTGTTTCACCATTGCCTTACTACCAGTTACTTTCAGTGGGACAATGAATTCTACGAACAGAAAGATGGAGTAGCTATGGGGAGCCCTCTCAGCCCGGTCATAGCTAACTTCTACATGGAACACTTTGAAGAACAAGCCCTGGAAACAGCAACCAAAAAGCCCACGATATGGTTCAGATATGTGGATGACACCTTCACCATTTGGAGCCATGGAGAAGAAGAACTCAACAGGTTCCTGGACCATCTTAACAGCATCCACCCAAACATCCAGTTCACAATGGAAAAAGAAAATGAAGGAAGACTGCCTTTTCTAGATGTCCTAGTCATCCGCAAACCAGATCAACAATTGGGTCACACCGTCTACAGAAAACCCACACACACAGATAGATATCTACATAAAAACTCCAACCATCACCCAAGTCAAAAAAGAAGCACCATTAAAGCCTTGGCAGACCGTGCAAAAAGAATCTGTGAACCCCACCTCCTCCAAGATGAACTGAACCACCTCAACTGGGCTCTCCAGGCCAATGGATACTCCACCTCAGACATCAGAAGAGCTGCAAGACCAAGAACAAGCCACGAGAGTAAAGATGAAGATCCACCCAGAGGAAAAGTGTTCCTGCCATACATCAAGGGAACCACTGACGCATAGGGAAGCTGATGAGGAAACACAACATACAAACAATCTACAAACCCACCAAGAAAATCCAACAAATGCTACGTTCAGCAAAGGACAAGAGGGATCCTCTCACCTCTGCAGGAGTCTACCGTATACCATGCAGCTGTGGACAGGTCTACATAGGGACCACCAAACGCAGCGCCCAGACACGCATCAAGGAACATGAAAGGCACTGCAGACTACTTCAACCAGAGAAGTCAGCCATAGCAGAGCACCTGATGAACCAGCCTGGACACAGCATATTATTTGAGAACACAGAAATGCTGGACCACACCAACAACCACCATGTCAGACTACACAGAGAAGCCATTGAAATCCACAAGCATGTGGACAATTCAACAGAAAGGAAGAGACCATGAAAATGAACAAAATCTGGCTACCAGTATTAAAAAACTCTAAAATTATAACAGCTAAACAACAGAGAGGAAAAAACCAGGCACAGATTAACACCTCCCAGCAACAGATTTTCCCAGGCTCAGGCAAGCCTTCAAATGTTAATGAAGGTGATCAGCTAAACATTCACACCTAACTGCAGCAGGGAAGAGCTCTTTGCCCCACCCCAGCCATTCCACAGATATATAAACCCATTTTTCCTACTTCCAACAGACCTCACTACCTCTGAGGATGCTTGCCATAGATGCAGGCGAAACGTCAGGAGAAATGCCTCTAGAACATGGCTCTATAGCCCGAAAAAACCCACAAGAACCTAGTGATTCCAGCCATGAAAGCCTTCGACAATACAACCCAAAATACATTTCATCCATCACCTTTTCACTCAGTGCTTCTCCTTTCCATCCATCATGCCATATAACCTTATATAGGAGTCTCTTTACACATCCGCACTCCCAATTGAAGCTGCTGGATCACTTGTACCATATTTATTTTTGAAACTCTCTCAGGTCAGATACCTCCTTGTGCTTCACACTTGTCCATATCCCCATTTCTTCTTCCCCAACTACTGCTTCTTCTCAATCATCTATCACTCCCATCCTGCCTTCCCCAATCCACCCACTCACCTGCCCATCCATCTCTCCAGATGTGCAACATTGCTTTAATTGCATGCTTCTGGGGTGTGTGTTTATTTCTCAGTGTGCGGAGAAGGGTGAAATATTCGCTGTGGCATAGGGAGAGAGTTTGAGTGCTGCAGAAACAATGGGATCTGACACCATCTCCCTTTGTGTCACCTTCTCTTTCGGAGTCCTCCCCTCAAACTTTGCCTCAGTTCCTCCCTGACCTGATTGGGCCCCTATGCAGAATGTAGGACACACCCAAAGAGGGCATGTCTTTCTTCTCCCACTGGGCCTGGAATCCTTGCCCACAACAAAAGGAAAGGCCAGTGAGGCAGGAGTTAAAGGCAGCAGCCAGAGTGGAGTTTGCTGAAAGTTTGAGCGGCCCTGACGCAAGGACGCTCTGGCACTGTCATGGCTCTCATTAGAGATGACAGATCCACTCTCGTGATGCAGACACCCTTGCTGCCCACACAGCAGGAGCTCTGCGGTGAAAACGTTATAATTGGGAGCACTGGTGGCAGGTTCTCCTTTTCACGCACGGAGCTTTCTGCTCTTTTAAAAGAGTTTCTCCCCCACATCCCCTCTTTTAAGCTTCAGTAATTGCTTTCAGCCTTTCGCTTTAGTGAGTGTTTGGGAACAGGATAGAATCACACGGTTTGACTCAGGGTGTGTAACAATCTTAACTCTGCTCTTTGAGTGCCGCACTCCTTTCTAATTTAATACTTCTCTTCTGGCATGTCTCTACATTCACTCCTAGGCACTCCATCTGTAACTACTGACTAAGTTTAGCTTCCAACAGAGGCTGCCTGTACTATGCATTATAGCTGGCTGGCTCCTTAGCACACTCGTTCTTCTGCCACTTATCCTGCTGCTGCAGAGAGACATGTTCCAGGGAACACTCTTGCTTTCATTCACATGCTGCCTCACTCACACTGATGAAATCTAGCAATGTGAGTCCCCACACCCTGCCACCCAACCCCTCCAGGTTTCATCAAGCTAGTATCAATGCTAGCAAAATAAGAAAGTGAAAAGCATTTCCTATTTTCCACAATAATTTATATTGCAGACCACATCCTGCTTTGCCTTAGCCTATACAGTACACAAACATTTACAAGTATTACTTATGTAGAAAAGCAAAACCCATCACTCCTTCCAACTGACCAATATTATACTCTCATTTTCTGAGAGCCTTACTACAGGAGGTATGTGATTGCTACTCAGACCACTAGTAGCACATAATCTTCTCTTACTCCTGAGAGCATCTATTAATACAGGACTGGAGGATGTGAGGTTCACAGGCTACATGCAAGTTTTGTGGTTCTCCAGATACCATTCAAGCTCTAGATCAGGCATAGGCAAACTTCTTTGCCCTGGGGTCGTATTGCAAGCCCGACTGCAAGGGCCGGGCCGGGAGGAGGGCTGAGTTGAGAGAGAGGGCAGGGCTGGGCAGGGTCAGGAGGGGGGGGGAGTTGCGAGACCAGTCCGGGTCAATCTCAGGCTCTCCTCCCAACAGAAGGAAGGTGCTACTCGCTCCATCCTTATGCTGGGAGAAGGGTGCAGCTGAGAGCCCTCTCCACTGCCACCTGTCTTCTTCCCCTGGCCCCTCTTCCCTGTCCTGATGCCAAGAGAAGGGTGAGGTAGACAGCAGCAGAAAGGGCTCCAAAGCCCCTTGGGCTGCCACCTGCCTTCCTCCCCCAGCCCTTCTTCTCACAGAATCAGACTTCACCTTGTCCTGATGCTGAGAGAAGGATGGGGCAGGGACGCACCAGCTGAAGTGGCTCTGCCACCACTTCAACTAGTGCCCCCCTTTCTTAGGCCAATCTCTTGGCCATAGGATGGAGCCTTGCCCCATCCTTCGGTCTAGAGAAGGGAAAGGCATGGAGGCACCAGCTGAAGCAGCTCCCTTTCTTTTCCAGGACATTCTCTCAGCTGAAGGACAGGGCCTCGCCCTGCCCTTGGGCCAAGAGGGCTCGAGGAAGGTATGCGGCAACGGAGAGCACTACAGACGGTTCCTATCCACTGTGAGCCTCCCTTCTCATCCTTTTGACATAAGGGCATGGTGACCACTGCATCGTTATGTCCAGAGAATGGGGGAAAGAGAAGGATCAAACATAAGCGCCCAAAGAGCCGCATCTAGCCCACAGGCCTTAGTTTACCCATGCCTGCTCTAGACACTTCCACAAATACATTGAGTGGATTGAATAACACAAGTGAGTTTTGTTCCCTTACGCCTCCTAATCTACCCACCTTCTCCTAAATGGTCCAAAATAAACTAAAATGACACAGAAGTAACATCATGTCATTGTGATTCAGGAAAAAAAAACCCACCAGGTTACCCTCTGAGACTGTGCAAGAGCAAAGATTAGTTCCACCCCTAGTGCAGTTGCCCAATTTTGTGTTAATAGAAAGTAAATTGTATGATGTTACCATGCTGCTCCATCCTTGCTTCCTTGACTATCAACAATTCTCCTTACAATGCCTTATCATCACAGGTACTGGATATTCCCAGAACTGAGACAAAAATGTTCTACCGTTGTTCTCAGTGATATCCACCATCTTTCTTGTGAGTGCATGGCCATGAACCTATTTGGTAACATTCCAGAAATATCTTGCAATCTTTGTTTATGGAGGTAAAGTGCATCCCTATCAGCTGGTTTTTCACAGTTCTTGCCTATTTCAGCAGGCATCACTAGATTAAAGTACAGTTGATGTGCATATCCAAGATACCTAAACTTGGACATGAGCGCATGAGAATACAAAATGGGAACAATGAAAGCCATGAACAATCATCATCTGTATCTGTTCCTTAGGTTGCAATCTTCCTATGGCAGCAATCCAAGGATTCCAGATAAAGCAGGGCACCAAATTTTTAGCTTTCTTTATTTTAGGCTTCTAAAACCCACCTTTCCCATTGCAGTCCCCTCTGTGCCTTGACAAGTACGCAGATGGTGAGAAAACTTCCTGCCACAGAACAGATAATAAAAACCTTAAACCACTAAGAGTATTTTCTCCTCTATCTGAGTTGTTCTCCGACCCATCATCAGGCACATATCCACTGACAGGTGGAGAAATGAAATGTGAACTCAGTGGTACATAGATAAAAATGGTGGTGATTGCTACCCTTGCAACAATGAAACAAATTCTGCTGTGACTGTGGCAATTGGTGCTGGCAGTATTCAATTCACACTTCCTTTCACCATCCACTTGTGGAAATGCATATGGCGGAGGACACCTCAGAAATGACTTCTGGATAAGTGTCCAGGAGGGAAAATGGGGATGCAACTCATGGGTAATCCTTAAACCACTGTAAAGAATTCTAAACTAGTCTGTCAGGCATACAAGCATCTAAAAAATATAGTTCCTTGATCTTGCTGTAGTCAAGAAGTTTAACTTGAACTAAATATTGCAAATTTTAAATTTTTAAAAATTGTTTTATTGTGTTTACAGGAAGTAAAACAGACAATCAAAAAAAGAAAAAGAAATATATGTACACAAAAGAATGAACATGTTTACAAAATAACTGTATATTATTTTACAAATATTGACACCCACCTGTATTTCTAACTGCTGTACCACTTGCATTTGAACCCGACACTGAGCCGTGCTCCGGTCATCAAGTGCATGTTCTGTATTGAGGTGTCTAAAAAGAGATGGCATTGTTGTTATGCTGGTGAGTTAACATGAGCCATAATTTACTTGTTTTGCCATTTTATTCTGATTTCCTAATATTCTGGCTTAAGGCTGAAATGCAGTCTGTGATAGCTCAGGCAATGATTTTTTTTTCAGACTAATTACCATATTTTTATCTTGTTCTTCCTCTGAAAAACTCAATACAGCACACATTCAGTGTCACTAGCAACCAGGGATTGAAAATCAGGATTTCCTGATCCAAGTGTAATACCACAGGCACTTCTCCACAGCAAGGCAAATGCCCAATGACACTCTATATTACCATAGTTTAATAATCAAACTATCAGATGGATATTCTGAACTTTGAGTGGCAAAGCATCATGCTCATCAATTACTTAAGATAAATAACACAGCATTTATGTTCCAGTTTCACCATAGGTTTTGTATTCTTTATTCAGCATAAATGGGTTATATGGACAGAATGCTAATTTCTCATTCACCTATTATGTCCTTAGCATCTCCACTGTGGACTCATGGTTTTGCCAGAATAAATTATTGTGCCCTTCATTGTAAACTCAGCTTCTGTGTCCAAGTGGAAGGCTGAGACAGAAACATTTTGTTATACTGAGTTCAACAAAACAAGAGCAAGTCTGGACTTTAATTTACATTGCAAAGCTTGTGGCTTTAAGCTGTGTTTGTCAACCTTCTAAATGTCAGCCAAATGACTTAGACTGACGGTGTCGAGAATGAAATTCATTTTATTTTGACAGCCTTCCTTTAGTTACTAAACAACATTCCATGAAATCCTGCTATTTTAAGCTATTCCAAGACAACTTGGCGTGAGTGGATAGAGTGGGATATGGCTAACTCCATTTGGGCCAGTTACATATGGTAGCGCAGGTGGAGGCAATTCCCCCTCGCTGGCCTTCACCCATTCATGTGCTATGATGGGTTCTGAAGGAGCATGCAAGTGGCCCCTCCATCTGCCTCAGGCCTGTTCATTTGGCACCTGTTGACTAAGAACAGTGATCCTTCGGTAGCAAAAGGCAGGTGCGGCTGGCAACATTTGCAGAAATGCATACAGAGTGAAGCTACACACACTGATTAGGTACACAGGCTGTGCTTCCTAACTTCTCCAGCCCTTTTAAGCGTCATTCCAAACCCCCACAACATTCTGTTCAAAGGCAGTGGAGTGGGAAGTTGAAGCAAGTGGAGGGGGGGGGGGGAGAAAGAAAATGAGGAGAAATATATGTGTGTGGTGGGATGTAGAGAGCATGTTTCGTAGAAAAGCATAGAAGGGAGGGAAATCCTGAACAGGCAAGAAAAGAAAACCCGTCAGTTTCATCTGATGTCTTTGCTAAAAATCTTGGCTACAAAGAGATCTAATTGCAAATGAACTAATTAAGTAAACCTCTGACGAAGCGTGAAAACAATTTGTTTGACCCTGACGCTAGCAGAGGGCTCTTAGACAGCGGAGTTAATCAGTCAGTGACAGAGCCCACAAGCGGTGTCAGCAGGCTGCCGTACTGCCATCTGTTTCTCCCTAGTTCTCACCCCCCCCCCCCAACGCCTTTTTCCCTATCATGGACAAGCTATAAACTTTACAGTTTTGCCTCCTCTTTCCTCCCAAGGCTTCAACATTTCCATAGATCTCAGTCAGCCTCTTCTGTTTGCCCTCTCTTCAGCAACCCTCTTGTTCCCCCTTCTTCCTACATACTCCACGGTGCCTGGAGGCCTCTGAGTTCTTCCAAAAAAAGTCCAAGGTGGGAATATAGTTCTATTTTGCAGAAAAGGAGCAGAGCAAGCCTTCTCTATTTCACAGAATGCCTATGGAGGCACAAGTATTGTGGTCAATGTTTATAACCCTAAAAACTCCACACCACTGTTTATGTTCTAAGGAATAGGGTCTAAGCTGTTAAAAATATTTTTGGTCATATATTCTATAGAATGAAATCTATTTTTGAAGTTCCTAAACTTACTAAGAACTTACTAAGCCTTTAGGAATAGAATAAGCTATCCTCATGCCCTCAAAGTGTAAATAGTAAGACGGAAGTCAAAGTTGGGTCAAAGAATACAGTCACATTGGAATGCCTTCTACAAAGAAGAGGGTCACCTACTTAACAAACTGTCCCAAGTCCTCACAGAGGGTTTCACAACCAGGCCACTTGCACTCTCCGTGTCCATACAGAGGGTGAGAGCCAGGGGTCTCCTCATGAGAAGAGCTGCAAAGGAGGCAAAAGAAATGAGTATTAACCTCAAACTATTAATGCAGTTTTAGTCAGGCCTGCTAGATGTTTCTATGGAGCTTTAAAGCTCTAATGCAGAGCTTTCTATACTGTGTCTCGTGATATGTTAGTGTGTCGACTGCAGTGTGTAGGTGTGTCACATGAATGTAAACGAGAAATCCGAGTCTATGTGAAAAAAGCAATAAATCATATATTTTTTAAAAATGAAAGTTTTTTATGAGACATGCTGTGTCCCCATACATTTCATTTTTACAATGTATGTATGTGTCTGTATGCCTTATAAGAGGTTTACCCTTCGCTTTTTCTAGTAAAACCGAATTACTGTGTCACGAAATGAAGCATGTCTAAAAGTGTGTCACCAACATGAAATATTTGGAAAGCTCTGTTTTCAAAACGTGATTTGAGATTATGGTGTACTGTACATGCGACTCTCTTTGCTGCTTTGGAATACAGTCACAAGAGCATATATATGAAAGGCTACCAGATTATTTCTCAATATAAGGCTCTATACAGTACAGAACCAGCAATCCAGTCCACCTGATAAAATTTCCTTGGAAAGCCCAACCATTTCTGTCATTTGCAAAGTCTCATCTACAAAATATTTTATTTTATATCCCAACATGGGATTCAACTGAACTAGCACCTACTCTGTGGGTAACCTATTATGGTAACCTCTTGTTTAGTGGGTTTTAATGTAATTAACCAAATTGTTCCCAATTTTTTAGAAGATTTTAGTGTGACTGATCAATCCTGAAGGGTTACATGATGGCCTTTTTTTAAATACCTCAAGGACTGAAACAGTGAGGAGGGACTAGGTCTTTTTTCCTGATGCATCACAGTATAGGACCAGGTCTTACAGTTTTATGTTACATGAGAAGAGATTTTGATTGAACATTAGAAAGAACTTCTTGACAACAAGAATGGTTTGGCATAAGGAATGCTGAAAGCTCACTTTCATACCTTTTATATTAGTTTTAGGAAAAAATGTTTTAGGTAAGAGTACTTTTATGAATAGTGAACCTCTGATATTACACATACAATTATTTTTGCCAAATGGTATAAACACTGTGTATTTAGCAAGCTGCCTTCTTGTCATTAATGTGGGACTGTCCCATTCTGTAACATCTTTTGCAATCCTAATTGTCCATGCAGGAGTGTGGGAAGTCGCTAACTTTTGTGTGACATTCTCTAACAGCATAGCATCCAGGTCTTTTCCCCTGATGTTTGTAAATATGAAGAATTCATGCTTTGTTCATGAGCTAAACTGAAAAATTAAGTGTATTTCTGCACTAGTGCATAAAAAAGAGCAGTTGATCCAACATGGAAAGATCACTGCAACTTAAGCTATTCAGCTATGCAGTTCCATTTTTCAATTGACTATTACAAGTAACATTAAATAAGCTTAGGCCCTAGTTGATTGGGCCTAACCGAGTTTCCCCCTGCCACTCCCTTCCACTCTGCCTTCAACACTTTTGTGTGTCATTGAATGCAGGAGTAACTATGAATCTGACTCCTGATCTAAAACACCAACACTGTGCTAAACTTTCAGGTGCATACATCTAAAATCAGACTCTAGGCTAGGGTTATCCCAATCACTGTAGAATTTAACCAGTGGCCTACAGAATATTTTCTAGCAAAGATCTTCCATTATGAATAAAATCTATATCCTTTACTCATATAAATGCCCAACAGCTTCTACCTGTCCCTCCTTTGTGCGAGCATGGCGTTCTGTCCATTGGTGAGAGAGTGGTGGGAAATTGGAGGAGAGACCTTGGCTGCTGAAAACGAGGTAGAATTGGAGGTGTTGGTGCTGAGGTCGAGTCCCTCTTGCTTGATACACTCTTCTACAGGTTGAGTAGCAGTAACCTCTTTCCACAGTTGCTGAAGGTCTGAGGGACACACAGCTTCATACACATTGGAAAATGCAAAGAGAAAAAAAACCAGAGTGAAAGGTTTTTTTTTTTTTTTAAGATCCACAAGTTCTCAGCAGACACAGTAAAATGACCCTTAATTAACTGAAGATTTATAATTTATGGTGCAAAATGTATATGTATCATGGAACAATTAAGATGCAATTGACCTCTGTCAATAGATCATATATGTACCCCTTTGCTTAAGAACACAAGAAGTGTCTTGCTGAATTGAAACAAACTGAACTTCTTGTTGTTATGTACCTTCAAGTTGTTTGGGATGAATATATTATTGGGGTTTCTTGGCAAGATTTGTTGAGGGGAGGCTTGATTTGAGACTAATTGCTAAGGAAAAGGCATTTCATGGGTGGGGGTTGTATTTTTATTACTGTTGTATTTTATTTATTATTTACTGTATTTGTATACCGCCTTTCTCAGCCAATCGGCGACTTTTAATTTAACTGTATTTTATTGTGATAATGTATTTCATTGTGGTACTTTACATCTCTCTTGCAGGAGAATGGCTGGATATAAATAAGGCAGATGATAATTAAATGTCATTTCCCAGAAAGGAATGGTGGATCTGGAAATGTGCTTGTGCCCATTTTTTTAAAATGCTACTTCTCATGTTTATAAATATGTAGTCCTCTGGTTTTTAGCAGAACTGTCATTCCAAGCAATAACCTGAATGCATAAACTTGGGGTAGGCAACTGCCATTGTGCTGGGGACCATTTTCAAGTTGACCAGCTGCCTTTTCTTATTTTGTTTAAATATTTTACAGTTGAAAAATCCATAAAATCCATAATTAGTTACATTAATGTAAAGTAGACTGAACGTGAACATAATTAAATTAAATCAATTATTCATTTAATATTATTAAGTTCATGAAAAATCCTCCCAAATGATTAAGAAACAAAATTGCCCACTTCCACTTGATCCATTATTAGTTAATTCATATATAAAGTGACCTTAAATATTCTGAAATTCACTTTAATGAATAAGGTACCAACTATGGTACTGACTATTGAAAGTGAAGGAAAAGGAATAAAAGTGACAATGATATTGACAATAGTGCATTCAGATCCTTTTTCACACTCATTTTAAGGGATTCGGAGATTTGCCAATGAACTTCTGCAGCAAATTCTGACGCCAACTTCTTAAAATAACAGGACCTAGGAGGAGCAAGGAAACCCCACAAAAAGGAAGAGGGGCTTGAGGCACTTTATGGCTTGTGGGCCTAATCTTGCCTATCCCTAGGGTAAAGTGAAGCTACTTAGTCTCAATCTCTGAATTCATGAAAGTTGGTAAGTGTGCCCTCTATCCTATGGTAAGAGAAGGCCTGCAAAGAAAATTTGAGATCTACTCACATCCAAAGGGTGCTGGATTATTTAGTTTTGTATGCATATCTGGTGTTATGTACATTTGATATGTGGAATTCTGGGTCCATAATGCAATATGTATTCATTCTTTTTTTTTTTTTTTCCTATCTAGATGGTCACACTCCTTTCAGACAGGTCAGAATATTGAATTTTATGGCACAGCAGCAGCAAAGCTGCCTTTCATGGGTACCTTAAATAATTAGTTATTCATTTCATATTATTTTGTAGTCATTTCTTCTGCAAAAGGATGGATGTGGAGTTTGTTCTCATTATTAGATCAAATGCACCCAGCATGGCAGACCGAAATTTCAAAGGAGCACCGGGATTTCTTTTAATCTGCGATGCCAAGGACCATGGGTTTTGTGATACAGAACCAGGAAGACTTGACTAGGTGGTACTGGTGGGGTCATCAGCAACACCTAAACCCTCCTTCCAGTCCTCATCCCTCCCCTGATTCCTCTCCCACATTCAGCGTGGACCAAGCCATTTAGGGCAGCAGCCCCCCAAAATGTTTGAAAGACTTGGAATAGGATGATCATGTAATAGGCAGACTTTGTTGCTTCTCTAAAGGATAATCTCTGGTGAAAAGAGACATAAGGTGTCTGCGTAGAGCGAAGCTACTTTGTGTACACATCCCTTCCTTCAGACGGGAAGCAACAGCATCAAACTAGAGGTTCTAGTGTCAGGTAATTACTGTGTTTTGCATTGAAGATGAATAATGAAATATTAAGCCCCCACTCTCTCCTATTAACATCAGCAACACAGCTCCGAGGCATTCCTTGAACAGGAGCTGGATCACGCATGTTACATTCTGGTCTAATAATGCTTTATTGATGTCTGTTTTATAGCAAAACCGAAAGCATGCCAAATGTTAGGCCCCAAGTGCACTGAAAACATCCAGCTTTTCAAATTAACAGACAACCGGCTGGCTATGCTAACTGCTGCTTTGGGGCGGAAGGTGGGAGGGAGCCACCCCTGACAGCACTGAAAGAGCAAGGAAGCTTATGTGCATTACCTTGTGGAAGGGTCTGCAGAGGAACGGTGCCTTGTCCTGGCTGTAAACTGACCAGCCCTTGTCGCTGGAGGTTTAACAGGTGCTGCTGCTGCAGCTGCTGCATCTGCAGTAGCTGTTGTTGGAATGCCAGCTGCTTATTCCCTAATGGCTGCTGGAAGACAAAAGGAGAAAATCAAAACACATTATTTTCAACCCTGTAGCACAGGCCGACGGGAGTCTCCAGGGTCTTGCATAAGCAGCCCAATCCCAGCTTTAGTCTTGCTTGCAGCCAACACAGCTCACAGTCCTGATCTCTTGTCCTCAGTGGCCACACAGCATATAGCCAAGGCAGAAAAGCCTTTGATCTAGCAGAGCAGCAAACGAAGGGAGGGTGGCGGAAAAGAAGAGAGTGAGACTGCTTGGCAGAGCACTGAAAATGCTGAGTCTCACTGTCGGATGAGCATTTCCACAAAAGTCTGGGCGCTTGAATTGTGCATAAAGAGACAGAATTGTATTTCTCTGCCAAACCTGCCTTCTCTAAACATATATGGATTGAGCTTGCAAATACGAATAATATGAAGTGCTTGCACATATTGCAAAGTAACCTGGGAGACTTTAGGAGGAAATATGTTCACCTTCATGAGGTTACTCAACATAGTCTGGGCAACGTCTAATCCAGAGACTTGCATACTAAGGAGGTGAGGTCCCTTACTGCTCTCAATATTTTTAAAAAAATATATTTTACTCAACTGGCAAAAGGGAATATGCACTTATATGGCCTTACTTCATGAGTTACATTCCTCCCACAAGGATTCACACATCTGATAGTTATGTAAGGCTTTAGAAAGAACAAGGAAGGTAGCACACTGGATGGATCTCATTTTAGCAACTGTTTTGCAGAGCTCGTCACAAGTATTGATCATGATTATGGTTAGAAAATAGGAATAGATGTCCAAAAAAGCATTATATTGCATAATATGGTTATAACCCAGTGTTTCTCAACCTGGGGGTCAGGACCCCTAGGGGGGTCATGAGTCGGTTTCAGAGGAGTCATCAAAGACCATCAGAAAACACATATTTATGATGGTCTTAGGAATCCCTCTGGCATAGTCGTTTGGGATCATAGTGCTCTCTGGATGTAGGTGAACTACATCTCTCCTAATCACTGTCAATTCATTCCAAATCCCTCCAGTGTTTTCTGTTGGCCATGGGGGTCTTTGTGTGGGAAACTTGGCCTAATTCTATTGTTGGTGGGGTTCAGAATTGTAGGTGAACTATAAATCCCAGCAACTACAACTCCCAAATGTCAAGGTCTACTTTTTCCCAAACCCCACCAGTGTTCACATTTGGGCATACTGAGTATTCGTGCCAAGTTTGAGCCAGATCCATCATTTCTTGAGTTCACAGTGCTCTCTGGATGTAGGTGAACTACAACTCCAAAACTTAAGGTCAATGCCCAACAAACCCTTCCAGTATTTTCTGTTGGTCATGGGAGTTCTGTGTACCAAGTTTTGTTCATTTCCATCGTTGGTGGAGTTCAGAATGCTCTTTGATTGTAGGTAAACTATAAATCCCAGCAACTACAACTCCCAAATGACAAAAATCAACCCCCCCTCCCCCGCAACCTCACCAGTATTCAGATTTGAACGTATCGGATATTTGTGCTAAATTTGGCCCAGTGAATGAAAATACATCCTTCATATCAGATATTTACATTACAATTCATAACAGTAGCAAAATTACAGTTATGAAGTAGCAACAATAATAATTTTATGGTTGGAGGTCACTACAACATGAGGAACTGTATTAAGGGGTTGTGACATTAGGATGGTTGAAAACCACTGCTATAACCTGTGTCATGGCCCTGCAGTAATTAATAATAGCATTCATTTAATTTTATAATTGAAATACTGTAACTTGACAGTACTGTAGAGAAGAACAATAACATCCATTGGCATCTGTTTCACTTTTTTTCCCAGGAAAGTTTGACCAATTAATGTCTGTGGAAGGAGTAATGGCAGGGATCTGACCTCATTTTTATCTTTTCCAAATATTTGTATGTACTTCAAAATCTCAATAAAGCAGATAATGGGGTTTACATTCTAAGGCATGTCATTTTTATATCAATTTGCTGAGGACTATGTTGATAACATTAAAATGCTATAAAAGTAGGAATAGTACTATCATTCATACATCCATTTTCCAAGAGATTGTTATCAGACAGCTTATTTAGACATTGTTTGTACCGACGTGTTTGATTAAAAAAAAATATTATCTAATATTTTCTAGAAAATTCCTAAGTACTATTTTCTCAAATAACAATGTTGATCAAGGAATGATGAGGGACCACATCTGCTACCAAACAAGGCAATGAATACTGGATAATTGGCCCCAAGGCATGGCCTGAGGGCACATGATGCAGGCATCTTGATGAAGATATGCAGATCTGGATCCTTTTAACGAAGGGATAGGAGGTCTCCTAGGAATCCTATATATGCCATGCTGAGTTAGGTGACACACTGATAATACACAATCATAAACTGAGATTATCACACTACGTTGCTAAAGTGCTACTATTCCACTTTAAGTCCTATGGCTGCCTCCTGTGAAGTCCTGGGATTTGCAGTTTAGGGAGAGGTATTTAAAATTCTCAGCCAAAGAATGCTTAAATGTATGAGCAAATCTGGTACCATAAAATATCTGTATATTACACCAATTTTGGTTTCTGTGACCTTGATATAAAAGGCAGTAAGTGCAGACTAAGGATGGAAGCAGTATGGGCCACAGGTCATGTGCCATCCCTACACCCTTATTTCCAATCCCTGCCTTTTCTTTATTTTGCAAGAAATTATCATTTAAATTGGCGGTTTTTCTACCAACAGTTGCCACCACAATTTGTCACTCAGTTAACAAACCATGTCTCCACTGTATACAGCTTATACATAAAGAGCCCAATCTTAACTTTAGAATACTTCAATAATTATTTAGCTTGAAGTCTCCTATTTTTGTCATGTTGATGGCTTTTTCCTTTTCTTTGGCTATTTCCTAACAAGTTTCCTGGTTTCTGTGGAGGATGTTCTCTCCAAAGTCCTCCAGGGCTCTATGGTCTCTTACTTGCCCCCTTCCTATATACTGCATGATGTCATTGCCTAAATCCTCCAGAGCCCCAACGTGTTTTGACAAGCTGTGTGCCCCTTTGGCCATTTGGAAAACTAGAAAAACAGTCCCTTGGAACATGAACCATAACCATCCTTGCTGTATACAAAACCAACCAACCATGAAGGGTGACACCTCCAACACTTTATCACCTCTCTCTGTATGCTATTGTTGCGTCACTTCTACACCCCACCTGGGGGGGGGGGGTGACTTAATGCTACTTCTCGTACTTAATCTCAATCCTAGCACTGGAGCACTTCCCTGTAGTCTTATTCTCTCTTGTTCCAACCACTGCTAAAACATAATCTAGTGAATTTAGGAAGCTCTATTTTATGGACTCTTCCTTGCCATTTATTTATTCTGTGAGCAGCCCAAAAACACTTGAAAATATTAAACAAAAATGTATGTATGGTCTCTCAAAGCTCCAAATGAGAGACCATTTGTATTGTAACTGGCAGACAGAGTTTAAAGGGATGAGAGAAAAACATTGCAGGTCAAGTATGAAGGGGACTTCGGAGGAAAAGGAACTAGTAAAACATAGGATAGATTCAATGTTCAAATGTTAATTTTGTCCTCCATCTAATCTTCAAAGCATTCACTCGATGTGAAAGAATTCACGTCATTGAAGAGCAGGCCTGTAGCAAGACAAGTCCATTCATTCTGGGGCTAGGAGGAATTCCTGACTAATGAATCACCAGGGAGTCTGGCTCAGCCATGGGGCATCAAAACCGGGAAGAGCCATCCCCTATGGACTGCACTGCTGGCAAAGGAGCAAAGACGGGTTAGTCATTCATGTTAAAGCAGTTTATGGGTATAAGAGATGCACTCTGCGTGGCCTGCAGGGAAGGGAGGGAATCCCAGTGCTCTCTTCTGCAAGAATCTACAACATCACTGCACTGTCTACGGTTTACTTTGTCCCCTCCCTTGCTTCCTCTTTCCCAGTAGGCCTTTTTGTGAACACAGGTTTCTGCCTGTTATATCAGGGCAGTTGAACACTGCCCCATTCACTCAATTTCCAGCTTTAAAACAGAAGGAAATTGGGAAAGGATTAAGTCATTAGAGTCCTCGGGGCATGGTGCTTTCACCTCATAACTCAACAGTGTTCCATATCTTTTCTCATCTACTTGTTGATGAACCCCAGCAGCACCTTCTGGGAGTCTGAAGTACAAAGGATGATAAGATGGGAAGAGAAGGTGAAATATCTTTAATAGTACTGACTCACTATAGGTGCTCTGCCATTGCATTTTATACTCTGAAAAGATCAATCATTATATAAGTGGTAATACACTGAAGATATAATAAAATGTATGGTAATATAAATGAGTGTTTAAACAGGGTTGTTACAACCTCCTTCTCAGAAAATGTACTCGTGTCACATTGCTAATATCACATCAACACACTGGGATTTGAAACTCTTATAATGGTATGAGGAAATAACATTTCCATCATATAAAATTTTTCCCCCATTTGAAATAAAGCAAATGGTTATTTTTTTAATCATACAGCTATTTCCATCTCTAAATCCACAACAAGGGCCTGGATATCAAATTCCTTGCTCATTGAAGTCACGCCTTCAATTCAGCTACATTTTAGTCCAGAGATCTTGATGTTTTTGATACCAGAAGACATATTTGCAGTTTGAAGTAGGCATCACCACAAAATGTTTATTACAGACTGTTGTGGGGGCATGCAACCAGACATAAGGACCAGTTCCCCAGAAAGACCAACTGGTGAGACTAGATGACAATTTGCCCAAGTTCAGGCAAATATGGTGTCTAAGTTACAGGATCAAAACCATTCCTTTGAATCCACAGTTATTATTTCACACACAGGCAAGTTGATTATTTCTCCATATTACTTCTAAAGTTATTTTTTTCTACCACATGTATTTCCCTAAATATGGCCTTTCCAAACCACACACCTTGCACTACAAATACAAAGAACCTCTTTCCATGTTAACACTTCATCCTCTGGAACTGTATAAAGGCTTTTCACTTTTGCTCTTACACATATGCAAACCTATCTATAAAGAAACAGACACACAGAGACCATTTAAGCAAAGACTCAAGACAAAAAAAAGAGAGAGAAATGACCATATAACCCAGAATATATGAGTCCACACTGCCATATATTCCAGTTCAAAGCAGATAATGTGGGATTTTATTCAGCTATGTGGAAGGGGCCTCAGGGGTTCTTGGACATGATCTAATAGTGGCAGTTTTGCAACCCTCAGTGGTATGAGCTGTTCAACTTTTTCAAAAGGGTTCTCTTAAGGTCTCTTCCAACATGATGCTATACAGTCTCAGATATTCATCAAGAGTGCCCTCCTCTTAATGTCATCCATGCATCATGTTTGAGTACAACAGTGCTGGCAAGCAATGCCTTTCTTGTGGCTCTCCCAATCAATTATCCTTCTATCATTATGGTCTAAACCTGACCACATAATGGTAGACTTAAAAGTCTTAACTTATTTGGGCCTTTGAGATAGGAAAATATTAGTAAATATCTTCATTTTAGATTGTTGGGCTTTATTTGCTTTTGATATTAACTTCAAACAAATGTTTAGGAAGGCACAAGCTTCTAAGTGTGCTTCTAAATTAGTGGTGCTCAACATGTGGGTTCCCAGGTGTTTTGGCCTACAACTCCCAGAAATCCCAGCCAGTTTGCCAACTGCTAGGATTTCTGGGAGTTGAAGGCCAAAACATCTGGGGACCCACAGGTTGAGAACAACTATTCTAGATGAAGGCCTCTCAGGGCTATTAATCAAAAGGTATCATGCAGCTCTTCTGTCTTCCCTTCTTTACTTGGATTTTGTCATAGGAATAAAGACAGGAGCACTGGGAAAACACAGTGGCATTGCAAATTAAAGATAGCACTGGCTGAATCCCCTGCAAAATATCATGAAGGAGGCATGAAGGAGTTCATATTATTGCCATGTGAATTTCACTCCAAGTGACCAATTCCCATTACCAAGTTTAACACGTAAAACGCTTACAAATTGATGGATAAGATTTTTGTGAATGAGCAAACAGTGCTATAATGCTCCATGAATCGTAACTTAGCCCATTTTGCAAAGGTTGTACAGCCAAGTGGCAAGTTGCAATCTCATTATGCAATTTATCAGTGAGTGTAGAAGAACACTTCATTATAGTGAGAGGCAAAGTGAATGATGTAAAAAACATATCAAATGCTTCAAGCAGAACTCTGAATGTGGGGCAAAGTAAAGCATGTAATTCAATAAAAGGCATTATGTTTGAGGAATTATTGTTAGAAATTGAATTCAGGTTACCTTTAAAAGATTATTAGTTTGCCAATGGATTCTCAGTGCATAAAACTGCAGAGTGCATTAGAGACACTCCAGTTTTAATTCTGAACTACTTTGAATGAGCCACATACCTCAAAGCTTGCTCCCCAATCAACACAAATTAAAACAATGAAGTTTCTTTCTGATGTTGCCCAGTAGCTCCCTCCCAGACTCCCCTGCCACACTGCTTCCAGAGACTATGGGTTTCTCTGGACACTTTCACTTTTGGAGGTCATCTGCTGTGTACTTTTGATAGAACCAATGAAGTATGAAGCTTATCTGCCTGCAGATAAAAATCTTAAACACAAAGAAAGTAATTACTGAACCTTACCCTGCCAGTCACTAGCGCCCACTGGGCCTTTCCAATCTTCCTTTTTCACTGCGGCGAAGGCACATACAGAAGGTTTCCTGTTAGGGTGTAATCCCAAACTCCCATCCTCCCACTTTCTGCTCCAATCCTCTACTCCCTTGATCCCTGATCTTCTCCCTAGAGACAGGTTTGAGTTCCTTAATGCATTTTGTCTGCGCTCTGTTTACATTAGACGCAGCTGAGCGGGTGCAGCTACTGGGGTAACAGGCGCCGTCACTTTGATTTATGAGCACATCAAGAGGAGTTTCAGCGTGACACTCTGGACTGACAGGAGCACTTCATTAATCTGACGCCTGGGTTACTGGCTGGCCAATCCTCATGTATGCCCCCCCTCCCAGATTAACCGCGTAGGATCAGCTGGTGTGCTGGGACAACTGCCAGCAAAGAGAGATTCAATATTAAAGCTCGTCCGCACCCTCCACCCCAAGTTTTCTGGAAGTGCAGAAGGGGCTATATTTCTAAGAAAAGGGGCAGCTAGATTAGCATTCCACAGAAACTACTTGTTAGATGCAAAGTAACATTTCTAACTTGGGCACCAAGTGTGGCTTTGACAGTGGAAAAGTTATCATCAGAAATTCATGCTTGAAAAAAGCAAATAACTGAAAGCAAGTAGTTCCATGTTTTCCAGAGAATTGTAGGCCAAGAGAGCAAGTATACATGTGATGTAACATTGCTAAGTTACACTCAACAGATATCAAAAGGTTGTTATAGAATTAACTGAAGTGTTTCGTTGTTTTTGATTTCATTGCAAAGTTACCACAGGGTGAAGGAAGAAAATTCGTTTTTTGTCCAGATAAGGAATCATAGGAGATCACTCAATGGTGGGCCAGAAGTTCTCCTTTACTTAAAAGCCACACACAGGTAATCTATTCAGAACACTGTCTTTGGGACAAGTACTGAAATTGTGGCTGTGGCTTGAAGGATTTTCAATATTACTTATTATGTTATATCAGAAATGCCACTGCTTCATATACTGAAGTTGAGAATCTGTGGGTCTCTAAATGTTTTGAAATGCAATTCCCATCATCTCTCACTCTTAGCTTTGCTGGCTGATGGGAGCAGAAGGCCAAATAAAATCTTGGAGGCCACAGCTGCCCATTCCCAATATAATCAAAGCCTAGGTTGAGCTCTTGCTACTCTGGATTGACATTTGCAAAGGTCAGTCTCAGGACCTCTGTATGAACTGTAGCCAGTCCATAAAGTCAGCTCCTTCCCATCTCAGTGTGACAGAAAGGCTGGTAGAACTAATTAAGTGAGTGGAATGGAAGAGTCTTTTGTTTACATGAGAGAGCTGTTGAATCTTCAATGGTTGGCCTGCTTGAGCATAGTTCAGAGTTTGAATCTGATTCTGCACAGAGGCCATAAAGATTAACCTTTAATTTTCACCATCTGCAGTAGTGTGGTTAAATCACATGGTGGTTATAACATGCAAACTAGACCTTAAAATGTTCATCAGCTCCAAACCAAACAGAATTGAGCTGTTGGTAATTTTGGCCATGACAGATGGCTTTGCAGAGCTATTTCAATAGATAATGGAACACACTACCAACAAAGAGATTAAAAGCCACACACATCATCTATGACATGACAGCGTGATCAAAATCTGTTTTACGGAGCAAACAGAACAGCACCGCTATAAGAGTGCCTCTTTCAATCCAACACCAACTCAAGAACTTGATAAACACGCATATTTAATATAAACAGCGTCAAAGAGAAGTTAACCACAATAATTCACAACAAGATGACATGAGGGGAATGTTGTAAGTATCACAGAAAATTCCTTGGCATGCAGTGATGCCTCAGTAGGCAGTGGGTGAAATGAACTGGATCTTATATTGCAAAAGGTTCATGGAAGGACTTTGTCTAACAGAATTGATTGAACTTGATATAATTGAACCTGCTTCAGACTGTCTTTATAAAAATCTTTTTGGAACATGCAAAAACCATTTGTAGCATATATAATTTTTACTGCCTGGCTCATTTGCAATGTCATTAAGCATGCTAATATGTGATTACAAAATATTTCTGGGAGGTGATTTCTTTCAGATCTGCATATTGGATTCCTGAAAAACTTTTATTTTCTAGCTCTAACAGGTAAAATAAGTTGTATTTTATGTGCTATTGCAGCACAGTTATTAGATTTCAAGATTTATCAAGCCATTGAAATGCGTACTTTCAGGACCGCAGAACAACAGGTAAATAATGCTTTTATAGTAGTCCACATTATGATGTTGATTCTGGCTGGTGTGTTATAAACCGCGATGTTACACATATCTACGATTATATATTCCCAAACGGAAAATCATGCATTTGCTGTTGAAGATAAGTGCCCTAAAAAAGCAACAGGTTTCCACAACAAACTACTGAAGATCCATGAGAAAAAAAATCTTTGTGTGTTTGTTATTGTAGAAATTTTCTGTGAAATTAACGCTGTGTACGGAATACACAGGGATAGCCTAGTTTGTATTTTCAGATGGGAAAGAAGCACAATAGATAAATGTATCCTTCTCAATGAGGAACAATGTGAATTCTGCTTTCACTCCTGGTAAGCTGTTGGATTTTTGTATTTAAAAAGCAAAGCATGACGAGAGAGCTTTATTTACTGCACAGATGTTTATGAAACAACGAAAGGCTATACCTACCTCTTTGGCTTGCTGCTTTCCAGCTTGCTGCTGAGTCAGTAGCTGCAGGTGAAGTTGCTCCTGCTGTTTCTTGTAGTATTCCTGCAACTGAGGAAAGAGTGGGCAAACGAATACCGACAGTAAGTAAGACTCAAATGATAGCACTGACAGCAACAACTTCTGGCTATTCTTCTGTGCCTTGCAACTATCTAAGTTGTGAATACATTGTAAAGACATATTCAATTATTGTTTAAAAGGGCCAACACTTAGTCACAAGATTAAGTGATCCAAATGCAGGGGAGTGACGTTGACCATAAGATTAATGTTAAAGTCTATATCACACTAATACCCTGGTTAGGGGTGGGGATCAATATCACTTGTATTCATGTGGTATGGGAGAAGGGGATTGCTGAATATGAAATTGGACTCATAAAGTTAATCAGATTGAATGGAATCACACAAGGAGACTGTAGAAGAAATATGTTGTTTTTTTTTAATATGAACAATTCTTTAAAGCTCATCCATTCTTATAGTCATCTGGAAACAATAAGAGACATTCCCACTTTACAGATGACAAACAAAGGTTGAATGAGACATAAACTTGCTCAAGAAACTAGGAACGTTTCTTTCTTTAGGTTCGGCATTAAACCATCATTTACAGAGCAGCAGAATCAGTGATTTTGGATCGTCCACCTGAAGATACTGAAGTTACAATGTGGCATCAAGTCTACCTTTTTGGTTTAAGAGTAATAATAAAGATGGGAGATAGAGAAATTATTTTGCCTAAGTTACAGAAATTAAAAGACTCTTGAAATGGAAAACAAATAGCCAAATATATTTCCAAAGGGAGTGTCAAGCAAATGCCAATAAACTGAAGACAGCCAATTGAATGAGAAAAGAATGATTCATTAGCAACACCTGAAATTACATGATACCTTGATCAGAATCGTCTTGTATCCAGAATTTGAGAACATGGCCTTTCAAAAAACATTACAACACCCCAAATCTTTCAACCGATATGGCTACTAAAGTTGTAACTCAAAAAAGTCCATGCATCACTACTTTGGGACAAGGGAAACATGTATCTCTGTATGTGAGGCAGGGGGTATTGTACAGACATATGTATGTGTATATATATATAACCAAAACAAATTAGCTTCTTATGGGATGAACTATTGCCATAGAATTTCATCAGAATCTTAAACTTTATTCTTTTTGTATAAGAAAAATATGTTTGGTTCTCTCGCTATATTATTATTTGCTCATGCATTTCTTAAACTTTTAGTGTTCCAGCTTTATGAAATCCATCTAAGGCATGTCCTCTTTCATTTTCACTGGTTTATCAAGATGTCTTAACTGCTCTCTAAGAGCATTTTTACACGCATCACTAATAGTGCCTTTGAGGTACCTCTTGTATTATTTGTGTGCAAATATTTTATTACAGGGAAAAAATCGTAACAAAAATTATTTCTACTAACTTAAATACATTTAATATTCAAATTACATTTACAAAAAGAGAAAATACTATGTATCTACTAGACTTGTTTAGGTTCGCTTCGTTAAAACCTTAAATTTGCTAAAACCGACTCAATTTGGTCTTCCGAATCAATTTTGAACCATGCAGGAAAAGTAAGCGGTGTAATTACGATTTGAACCACTTAACCTTTTTATTCATAAATATTTCGTAATGTCCGGAAGTCTCCCAAGCATTAAGCAACTTCTGTAAAGTTTTGCTTCCCCCCGGGCGATGCAAAGGAGGGATGAGGTGGGCACAGCCATTGTTGTAGTTTGTGAAGGGAAGACCCCCAATGATAGAGATTGCAAAAGGCCCTGTTGTTAAACTATATTTCCCACACTGCCTTGCTGTGTATTAGCCAAAATGGCTGAGCAGCAGGTTTCCTCACCCCCCCCCCCCGCCCTTCTCACCCCAATCTCAAGGTTTGGCAACTGGGAGTTTAGCCAGGCAGGAGGCAGCCTCCGCTCAACAGGATCAAGCCAATGCTGAGTTTAAAAAAAAAGGAAAGGGGGAAGGTGGGAGTAAGCGACCAATTTTGGAAAGGAAGGAGAACCTTTCAGAAGCACCTTCCTTCCCTTCCTCCCTTCCTTCCTTCCTTCATTCCCTCTCCTGCCTCCCTCCCTCCCTCCAGGTGGATCAGGCAGATCTTATTGAGGAACCACTTCCAATTGCTTTGCCTCAATGCTACACAATCCTGGCAGCTGTAGTTTTGCATGGTTTTTAGCCTCCTTTGCCAAAGAGCGCCATAATACAAACCCCAGTATCCCATAACATTGAACTGTGGCATGGCTGCATCTAAACCAGGCCTGGGCAAACTTTGGCCCTTCCAGGCATTTTGGATTTCCACTCCCATTATTCCTAACAGCCTGAAGCCCGCTGCCTGGCACCTGAGGGGACGTCGCTGACTCTTCCTCCTCAGCATTGACAGCTGAGGCAGGCCTGGAGTGGAAGAGCCCCTGAAGTTTCCCCACTGCCCGTGATGTTTTTCCTACTGCGCATGCTTATCTGCCATTAACGAAGTTGTTTCGGAAATTTCAGAAAGTTTTGAAAAAAAATTTTTTAAGTGACTTTAGAATTGAACCACCAGCACCTCCTACATCCGAAATGAGTTTTGAACCTTTTTTTTTTTTTGGATCAAACAAGCCTAGTATCTACTTAATAAAGCATTTGTACTATGCCTTATAGTCTAAAGAAATCTCAATGGCTGCTGACATGTTAAAATCTATATTACAAAATGTCAGTCAAAACCCAGATACAGGCAAAATAAAATAAAGAATTTGCAATATAACAGGAAACTGATAACTAATTAAATTCAGCAGCAGGAAGCCACCAGTGGGACCAGCAACCTCCCCCCACCCCCAATGAAACACGCACAAACTCTAGAGTCCCAAAGACCTCCCTTTTCAGAAAAAAAGACAACAACCACAGAGAAAGATGGACAGACAGAGAAAACCTTCTGGTGATGAGAGAGAGAGTTGCAGGAGCAATTAACCATTAATACACGTGGAACTTTATAATGCTTCATTAGGAACAGATAGGCTTCTGCTGTCAAGGTGCTTAACAAACGACACTTTGACGGTGGAAAAGCCAGAAATCTTCAAAGGGGAGGAAGAGGCAAGAGGTATCAAAGGTTGAATGCAAGCCGATGAAACTCCTTATAGTAAGAGCTTGATTAGAAGCCGGAATGAAGATTAAGAGGTTAAGTCAAAGACATGTAGGGTAAATGACATTCCACAATATCTTCTTTAACTGTGGATGGCGGCATTTCCATCAGAGGGGATGAGAATCATGCACCCCTTCTGTCTGGAAGGTTCTGGATATTGACTTCCAGCATTCCTCACCATAAATTATACCGATTAGGGACACTAGGAATTGACATCCAATATTGGGAGGATTACAACTAAGAAAAGACTAGAAAGGAGGTATTTTCCCATTCCTTCTCTATTTTCTTTCTCCGTGAAAATCCCATGACACAGGTGTTTTTATTGCAGTCAGTGGTCTGGATTGGCCTATGACAGACAGCTGTCAAGGGTTTGTTACTGGTGACTTCAGGGTAATGTGCAGTCTCAGTTATTCTTTAAACAGGGCACTGGTATTTGTCTCCACATATAAAGAACCATTTAATGGTAGGGCATTGGGCCTCAGGGGTGCTGCAAAATTACAAATCGCTTTCCCTTTGTGCCTCAGTTATACTATCTGCAAAATAGCCATGATATTATATGCATCACAGAAGCATTTAAACTTGGTTGGCAATCCCTATATAAATAATGCTATTCAGGGTGTACCAGAGAGTGACATTATACTGAATTTTCAGGAGAATGCCAATTCTAGTTTACTTCCAGAACAAGTACTTAACAATTTGGTTTGTTTTCCACAGGAGGGGGCCAAAACTACAGGGAAGGTCAGGACAGGTTTCCACAGCCCTAGGGGGGAAAAAACCTGGCTCCTGAGGAATGCCCCTGGGGATTCTGGGAGAGTCCTTATCAGCTTGTAGTTGACAGTGCTGACAGCAGAAACTTTTCTCTTTATGTCTGCTGAACAGGTTTGGAAAGCCTCCTTGTTTACCCAAAAGCCAATCAAAACCAGGTCTCTATATGAGATTCTGAGAACATTGGGTCAAGAGGTGAGAGGTGTGATGTTTGGTTTTCTTCTCATAGAGAATGCCAGCTATTCCGGCTGAGGCTGTTTAATTTGCAGTCAAACGTGTTTCTCTATCTGGCTCCAAAGAGACTGGGAGAAGGAAGGACCCACCCAAGTTAGTGTTTACTCTTTGTTCTTTCCCTGGGGCCAACCTTGACTGCTTATCAGCATGTTGGAAGTAAACAGGTATTGAAGGCAGGAGGAAGGGTGTGGAGGATGCTGTAGGTTTTCATGTACACTCCGCTGCATAAGTGTTTGTCTAAACAGTTGTGTTTTCTTTGAGAATCTTATGATATCCTTCCTTGTTCTTATCAGTTCATATTTGAAGCAGACATAGAAAACCCACATATTTACCTTTTGCTAAACTGAAGTGTAATATGTAAAAGAGCAGAATTAAACTGCTTTGCCTGGCTTTTAATACAGAATCTGAAACACACAGCTTGGAAACTTTGTTTTTGGACTACGATCATTACAATCCATCAGCTAACAAGGCACATTTCTAGGGAAATACATCTCTCCAATAGCATACAGCTATAAGGAAAAAAACCACATAAAAAGCCTAGGGGAAATAACCTTAGGGAGAAATAATGGTTTTCTTTAGAATGAAACTTCACTGCTTAACTCGCTTTTCACAGCCTCAAGGTATCATGGTAACAATAGTTCACAGTCCACAGAAGAAATACCAGAAGGAGAATGTAGGCTTCTAGAACACAAAAATATGCTTTGCCAAGGCAATCAAAATTTAAGTGTCTATCTTAAATATGTATCATATTGTTTATTGTGATTTGGAAGAAAAAAATCTTTGTAGTAGCAGCAGCATCACTGGACGTAAGTTTAACCACCCTACAAATTCTGAGGTGAGGGCTCTCAATCTGGTCAGTGAAGGTCATCAGATCTGGTCACCACTTTCTCCTACCCACTCTAAAATGGTATTTGCAATTGTCAGCCAAAGGTGTATCATGTCACTTACCCTTCCCTGCATTAAGAAAATGGAGGAGGAGCAAAGCCAGAAACAGCTGGCATTTACTTGTGTTAGCCAAGGATTGTCCATCAAGGGCAAAGTCTATGAGACTAGCCACCCAGTGCTTCAGCCACTGATCCAACAATATCATGAAGTTTGGCCATGTTTAGCCTTTCTTGATTTTAGCATCAAGGCTTTATTTAAGTGGTTTACTCATTACATTTTTAATTTGGGTGAACATTTCAATGCTACATAGTTAAGGACATTAATAGATGAAAGGACTAGCCAAAGAAAGGAACAAAGTCCAAAATGTAATAAATTCCGGCCCATCCAAAAGTTAAGATTACTATGTAGTTGTAAGGGATCCAAATGTCACTGGGAAAACAGCTGTAGAAAATTTCCCTAGTACAGAAACAGAGCATTTTGTTGCTGGAGGAAGAAAAAAAAAACTTTCTCACAGCTAGACAACCGCAACTCATCATTCTGCAACAAGGTTCATCTCACAAAATCATTTTGTGGTAGCAGACAGTCCAGTTTTCGTGCTAGACCAGTGTAGTGTTGGCATAGCACTAAAAATAATAATAAACAGAATATCTGGGAACTGGCTTTTTCTTCTTCTTGTTTTTCCATAAAGAAGCTGTTCATTTGTAGAACCTTTATACAGTTCATTTGTAGAACAACCAAAGCCCTGGTCTCCAAAATAAAATAAAAAGGATTTGCCTTCTATAAATTAAAAAACGGAACTACATGCACCGTCCTCAAGATGCTAGACTAAATCGTACTTACAGGTCAAGGACACAAAAGAAAATAGCAGAACGTTGGACTTGGCTGTTGAGGATTCACAGCCTGGCTCAACTATGATATATTAAACAACCCCGAATAAGTTGATTTCTTTCTGCTTCCACTCTAGAATGCATAAAATCAGAATATAATTCTTAGAATGAACAAACAGGAAACACATTGTACTCGCTTGCAAGAAATGCAGACACAAATGTCAGTTCTGTGACTCTTACATGAAACATCTGTCACAAAAGGCGTGCTCAAAAACAAAAAGCAGGCAACCTTACCTGTTGCAGCATAATGGCTTGCTGTTGCTGCAGAAGGGCTTGGAGCTGAGGAGGAGAAAGGATCTGTTGCATCTGCTGTGGGGAGATCATTTGAGGCGACATCATGGCCACAGACACTGGGACCTATATAAAGAAAGAGACAACAACAAGGGGTAACAATGTATGACAGATGTAATGCTGCAAGAAATCTGAAAAGTACAACTTGCATATAAATGTTTATGCCCACATTGTTTCTTTCTCTGACTCATGGGTAAGAGAGAGATGCATGTGTTGGTGATGATGCCTTGTGGGAATGGATTTCTTCTGAATAAGCAAAACAAAGACTCCTCTGGTACTTCTAAACTTTTACAAGGACATGCCTCAAAGCTTCCAAAGCAGCTGCTATGTAAAAGTGTTGTAGCAAAAGTAACAAAGAATCTCAAGTAGCTCCAAGGCTAACATATATTATTGCATACATATATTATATGTTATACACATATATTACGGCATACTATAGTCCCAGTATAGCACAGTGGTTTGAGCATGGAATAGGTGACTGGGAAATCAGGTTTGGCCATGGAAACCCATTGAGTGACCTTGAATAAGTCACACTCTTTCAGCTTCTGAGGAAGGCAAATGCAACCCCCCTCTAAAAAACCTTTGTAAGAAAACATCATGATGGGTTCACATTGCCAGAAATGGTTTGAAGGCATGCACCGCCAATAACAACACTAGCTCATAGGAAGACTTTCTTTAGAATTGAGATAAAGGGTTGAACACCGTGAAAGCCATCCACTGCACGGCTATTGGTTTCCTCGCAGTAGTCTCAAATCAAGGAAAAGCTTCATGAGAACTACCACTCCTCTTAACGTTCCCCCAGCAACAGCAAGAGTATAGCTCTGGGCATCTAAAGCAGGAAAACCCGATTGGATGGCCCCCCACAAGGGTCTGTCTCCAGGGGCAAATCAAGACTGGGCAACTTGGAATTCCCTGAACAAACTCAGAAGTGGAGTGAGAAGATTGTAAGACAATAAATAAATAAATAAATAAATAAACCTGGCAAAATGGCACTACCTAAAAGAATCCTCCACCTTGTGCGACTTTGGAGAAAACACACAACTCCACATCTGTATGCTTGTCCACAATGTCCTGCCTCATGTACAGAGGAAGAATTGTTTGAGGCTACAGACAACATGGTCGATGTTGCCCGTTTTTGGTCTAAAGATATTTAGCCGCTTGTGCTCCTTCTATTTTTATCAGTTTTATACTAATTTATGCAATGCTTTTGATACTAAATAAATAAATAAATAACAAGTGGGATAAACATAGGTGTTAACACCACAGACGGAAAGGGATGAACAGAAACCGAAAAGGCTATTCCAGTTTCTAAGAGAAATTCCCACATCAGTCATCTAGTGTGAAGCTGGAGGTAATACAGTCTCTTTCATTGAAAATCTTTAAACAAAAGTTTGATTGACATATTTAAAGTTTGGTATAATTATGTTTTCCTGCACAGAAGACTGGACTAGATGGCTCTTCCAGTCCCCTCCAATTCTGATTCTATATATCTGTAGCCACAGTCTTAAAGGATAAGAAAATATTATTTCGAAAAACAGTGAGCAAGTAACCTGCTGAGAAAGTGCAGTTTCACAGGAAAAAAGCTCATCTGGAAGCACCCTTACCTATAGATTGCAAATCTGTTGCCTTGGTAGGTCTAACAGTGGCCAAAAAAACTACAATTTTCAAGAAGCCTTGAAATGTCATTACTGCTGTAATTTGCATAGCTACCAAAACAGAGCAAGCATAGCTCCAAAACTAGGTCACCATAACTCATGGGGTCTTGTAAGTGGGTCAGAAATTACATAAAACTTCAGTGGATTACACCTTTATTGGGAGAGATCAGGAACAATTCAAGGAATCACTTTGTGGTTGACCACTACTTCCATTATATTCACAGCAAAGTTCATGTGCAACATGGTTTCAAGTTAACAGACTATTTGAAAATTTTTCTAGCCATACATTTATACACACGTTTTCATACAACATTTTTGCTGGCATATGCAATCATACCTCTGCTCATACCATACTGTTACCAGAACCTGTTCACCCTGAGCAGGAAGAGGGAAGTATCAAATGTGAGCTGGCTCTTCGCACTGAGAAACAAAATGTTTTCTCTTTAATAGAAAAGGTTTTTGCATGTAAGATGGCTACAGAGAACACCAAGCATCTAGTTACAAATGCAGTACAATGAAGTGGGTTTTCCAAGGAAATGATTACCAGAAAATTTTCAATTAATTTTCCTACTCTAATTTGTTGGAGAGCTGATTTACCATGACTTTTTGACATATTTAGTAACCTAAATATTAAACAAAAATATGTCCTGTTAATTTGATCAGCTATACATATGTCCGAAATGGATTTAACCTAGTGCACATATTGTGATTGAAATATTATGCACAAAGAAATGTACAGCTTTATCTGGAAATTATTTTTATTGGAATATTTGTAACTATTTTAAAACATTACAACTCAATATAATATATAGACCAAGATCCTATTAGTTCTGACATGATCAGAGCCATTGAATCAATTGGATTTACCTGTCTGGACCCATTATTCAATAGCTGATTGAATGTGTTCACTCTAATTCGTGATTCACCAACAGGATTGCAGCCATGCCATCATTATACAAAGGGGAAAGGTAAGGCAATTACAGGTTGAGTATCCCTTATCCAGATTTTCAAAATCTGAAATACTACAAAATCCAAAACTACCCACACAGGTGGCTGGGATAGTGACATTTTGCTTTCTTATGGTTCAAGATATATAAACTTTATTCCATGCACAGAAGAATTTTAAAATATTGTACGTAAAATTACCCTCCGGATATATGTATAAGGTGAAGATGAAACAAACAAATGTTGTGTTTAGATTTAGGTTCCATGTATAAGATATCTCATTATGAATGTATATGGAAATACAAGTATTCCAAAATATGATAAAAATCCAAAATCCAGTTCTGACTCCAAGCATTTTGGATAAGGGATACTCAACCTGTATTAATATATGCATTTTAGCACATTGAAAAAGCTACTTTCATTAGTAAGTCCTGAAAAAACTTAATTACAACTGAAAAAACTTAATTACAACCTCACAACCTCTGTGGATGCTTGGCATAGATGCAGGCAAAACGCCTCTGGAACATGGCCATATAGCAAAACAAAAACAAAAAAACAAAAAAACAAACAAACACCTACGACAATCCAGTGATTCCAGCCATGAAAGCCTTCAACAATACAATCATTACAACTGACGTTTTATCGATTTTATTTGCCCAATTTGACTTGTACTGTGCTTATTTTCATAATATTAACTAATTTTATGAAACAAAAAAATTTAAGAGCGGAAAATATTCTATGTAAGAATAACACCTTGGAGGCTTTCTTTCCTACATCACTGATGCAGTAGTCTTTGGGAGAACTCCCTCTCCCATAGATCACTGTGGCTGGATGTGGAACACGACACTAGCTGAGATAGCACCTCCACTATGTTTATCACTACAGTCCCTACTGCTATCTCAGAATAGATTTGCTTTGGAGAATAGAGAAGATGGAAAAATTCCCCGTCACTATCACACAAGTTTATTTCCAAGCCAACCTAGAGTCAGAGGGACAGATTCTCCACCCTCTACTTGTTCATATGCTTTTTATACAGATACATAATGGCCTATGTTTAATAGTTTCATCTGCAATAAACCCATTTAAATCAATACAAACATGGTAAGTCAACATGTAAGTAAATTATATTGATCCGTTGGGACTAATACCTGGATTATATTTGTGGGACAACTGTTGTGGCTTTCCCCACCTTAAACCAGCCGATAATGGACTCTACAAAGCACACTTCTCTAAGAATGCTAAAGTGCTTCTAATGACAAAAGCTTTAATACAGAGAAGGAAAGAATATTCAAAAATAGTGAATATGTCTTTCTTGAGTCTCAAGAAACTTTGAAAAGATGCATCCTGGGCTGGCTAGAATTTGCACAATTCAAGATTCATTCTTCACGACATTTGCAAATAGGGAATTGAACAGTAAACACATTTTTTCTGTGCAGAAAATAATATTTCTACTCCAAATGCTAATTAGTTTATTATTTTGCATTAGTTGTTATTTTATTATTTGCACATTATTATTTTATTTTTTCACAGAATAAGGTCCTAACAACAGCATCTTTTGTGCAGAAAATAGCATTCCTGAATAGAAAATGATTTTTCCTTTAAAGAAAATCCTGTTTTCTGTGCAAAAAACCCTTTAAATTTTGTGCAGAATAACTGCCAGACTGCAAATAGTCTTCAAAAATCCTTTTTGCAACAGGAAGAAAATTGCTAAAACTGCTGCTTTCTTCAAGAATATAATGTGCATCCCTACTCTAATCTCAGGGGTTCTTATGGATTCACAGCATTTTCAACTGTAGTATTTTAAAAATTCCGATTATACTCTCTAAATAGCCTACATAAAACATACATCTTCCCTGAAAATGGAAAACATGGCAAGCCAAGAGAACCGCAATGAAAATGGCTAGCACTCCACAAATCACCACTAAGTAATCAGCAGACCACAAACCTCTGTTCTAGCTGTTATCTTATAACCCAGTAGAGGATTCAATGTATATGCATGTTAATCCAAGCACTCACATCAGAATGTTTGAAATATTGCACCTATGCCGGGCTTTCTACATGTGTTCAAGAGCACAACATTTACAATAACCCTCCCTCTACAGTAATATTGGAAAACCAAATCTGAAACATGCAACACCGTAATTTCTCTTTACATTCTCGACAATGAAACAATTCCTACTCCTACATTCCTAAGCTTTTCTATAAGTGTCAGAAATACAGGAGAGGGAGAACTGTACTCATATACTTTTTGGAAATGATTCAGACACTGAACTGAAGTTCTTGACACAGCTGATACCAGTGCCTTGCTGACAGACAAGACTTGGTGAAATCACAGGCCGTTGAGATCTTGAAACATTAATAGCAGCACCTTGAACTGGACCTTGAAATTCACCAAAATCCAAGTAACTGCCACAGAATTTGGCTGCAGGTATTCTTGCCTACCTACACCTGCCAACAACTAGGTTA